CTTATTTTTTTCCCATTATGGATGGGCCAAGTTGAAGGCAGAAACCTTCTTTAAAAGACCACAATTATTATATTTTCAAGTTTTACCACAAAACACATTGAATCCATTGTGCTTATTTTTAGTAGAGTAGTTTCTTCTCCCTTCATTCTTCCTGTGATAATCTGGCATTTTGTTTGTGTTGTTTAACTCTATATCCCTGACTCAACATAAATTGTACTTCAAATTTACAAATTATAAGCCTACATGTTCTCATTCTCCCTCCCAAAGTCCATATATTATAGAGAAAGGATAACAGTATGTGAAAACAATAGTCATTCATATGTCATTGACCATAACATTTTTCCCCTTGGCCTTTTTATGGCATTATATGTAAGCAAGTGCCAAGGTTAACCTCACTAGATAAGGTGTTTTCTAGAAATGCAGTGTTTTGTAGTGGCCTACAGAACATGAACTGAGGATTCTAGAACTGCCTGGTAGACTACTGTGAATAGAGTCAAAAGGTTCAGAGAAACATATATGTTAGAATGGATTTATTTCATATCAGCCCACAAACTAATCATGTTCCCTGAGAGGTCCCAAAAGAGATTCCTTCACAGAAGCAGTAAAACATATGCATCATTGAAAAGGTCAGTGGTGGTAGTCATCTGTGGCCAGGATTGATGGTATAAACTGATGATGGAGAACTGGGAAATGGGGGATGACAGAGAGCAGAGTTGTGGTAGATATAATTACTAAAATAGGAAGAAATGTCAATCAGTGGTCCTTGACTCACAGAGATCTGACTAATAGACTATGGCTTCCTTAAGGGTGAGGTAATTATGCAGCCAACAAGAGTATTACGCTGACACCAGTATATACACTGGAAAAGGATCAAGGACAGGTGAATCAGAGGCTGCTGTTAGTGACTTCAATAGAAAATGATGACCTCCTATTCAGTTTCCAGACCCAAGTCAGTTCTCAGACTAGAGCCCTTCGATTGAAGGAGAGGGTTAGTCTTCTTGAGAAAGATACTGCAAGAATGAAGTGTGTGTGTGTGTGTGTGTGTGTGTGTGTGTGTGTGTGTAGCATTGTTTCCCCCCAGTCCTTCCACAACGGATTTATAATCATATGCCAGAGTAACTGTACACTTGGGAAAGGTGAGAACCCAGATATATCTAAAGGTGTTGGATTCAGAGTTTGAGCAGACACTGATACCAGGACTCCTTGTGTTAAAATGCATGCATATGGAGGCCAGGTAATAAATGGAGTTCTGATTCATGTCCATCTCATGTGGGTCTAATTAGTATTAAGGTCCACTTTATACTCATTTCCCTTCTACTTGAGTAGGTAGTGAGTGACAGAATCCTTCCATTGTGTATCATTTGGGTCCTCTGAGAATCAGACACTGAAACAGTGGTAAGAATGTAAGAAATTCACTGGGGAGTGATGCCTATGAAAGGTTTAAAAAGAATGGGGGAAATAAGGTGGATTAGACAGCAAAAACCTACAGACTGCCATGTAGATGCAACATCTTTCAAAAAAAAGTACGAAAGAGGCAGCATTAGGCAAGGAGGATATAATACTGCCATGCAGGTCTAACAAAACATTGGTCAACCCAATGGAGATATCCAGAGCAAAGATAGCCGTTAACAAGTCTCATGTTGGGAAGAAAATGCTAGGCCCTAGTACCTTCATGGTGTGCAATTATCCAGGAGTTTACAGAAAGAACAGGGCCTTATCTGTAAAGCTGATGTAGATCCTGAAGTTGCTAACAGTTGGAAACTCAGCTACCTGCACTCTTTGCAGCAGAAGTACATCTCCAGACATGTGAAATGAAAACCATAAAAGAAACAAAGGCGAAATAAGAGCCCCTAAAAATTCCTCGCTTCCTGATCAATGTATTAACCAGAAGCAATAGCAATCCATGGAGTTTGGTGCTTCCTCAAAGACTTAAAGAATACAGGGATGGTAGCTCCCAGCACAACTGTATTTGATTGCCTGTATGGCCCCTGCAAAAACCTAAAGGATCATGGTATATAATTATGGAATACCTTAAATTAAATCAATTGATAGACCCATTAATAGCTATTTTTTTCTACAATAGTTCACCTTCTAACTTATGAGGATAAGGCCCCAATAATAGTGTTGATACTCTTTTAATAAGAGACAGAGACCAAAGCCCTCTCACTCTCTCCTTGCCATTTGAAGATACAGACATAAAGCAGCCATCAGCAAACCAGGAAGAAGGTCCAACCAAACATGTAATCAGCCAGCACTTTGATCTTTGACTTATCAGCCTCCAGAACTGTGGCATATAAATATTACTGTGTGATCCAATCAGTCTATGGAAGTTCATTATAGCACCTGAAACTGACTGGCACAACTAATCATGTATCTTTGATCTCAGTGTGCTCAAGCCAACTTCCAGTTGCCACATATACATCTCTGTGTCTAAGGGTTCTCTTCATGCAACAGCAGAAAGTCATGCTGTCTGTGCATACCATGTTGAGAAAAACACAACCAATGATTTTGGAGAGTTGTCTATGAAGATTCCGTCTCCATTTTCATCAGGTAGGGTAACTCTAAAATGTATATTTTACATCATTTCTGATAATTTTCACTCAGGTATAATCAGTTGCAAATAGTGATTGTAGATTCTTGTGCACCCTTACTCACCCCATTTCTTCAATTCTCTGTTAGTGTGCAGTGCGCATCCTAAACAAACTGTATTTTATTCTTTTTCTCAAAATATATTCTCTGAGATTACAAACTATGACTTTAATTTACCTCTCTTGGTCTTAATTTCTTCTTTTCTAAAATATTTAGAATATTTACACTTCCTTGAAAGTTTATTCAGAATTAAAGATAATGTAAATAGAGCATTTGTTTAATACCTAACAAGTAGTAGACAATACACGTTGTGTCATTTCCTCATCCCATAACCTAAACACCTAGCTCTTAAGACCCATCGGAAGATACGTTTCACTTTGTCAGTCTTGCCAGAGCATCCCGGATACCTAGAACTCAAACATTGGCATGTGCCCTGGATATGAGGCTTCACAGCTCATCAGAGATTCCTCAACTGCTCCCAGGAGGTGACTCAGGGATTAAGTTACCTATTCTTCTTAGAGCCTCAATCAAGCCTCACATCCCTGTGTGCTGAGGCAGCACCATTAGTTCAGGACCAGAAACGCCAGCCTTCTATCACAACCCCTATGAATGTCCACATCATTTTCTCTTTATCCTTCTTCACATTCTTCTCACTTCCCTGGAACAGGCATCTTTTTCTCCCCTCAAATGCTTCACAGTTCCTTCACAAAATACCGGAGGTTGTTCTGTTCCCGTAGGTGGTTCAGAGCTCATGGATTACTCGAAGTCTACATCCCCAAGCATGACCTCTCAATCCCTGACGTCATCCTTCCTTAATTGTTTTGGTAGCATTTTTTTTAAATATGAAATTGATTGTCAAATTGGTTTCCATACAACACCCAGTGCTCATCCCAACAGGTGCCCTCCTCAATACTCATCACCCACCCTCCCCTCCCTCCCACCCCCCATCAACCCTCAGATTGTTCTCAGTTTTTAAGAGTCTCTTATGGTTTGGCAGCATTTTGATCACAATGACAAATTGCTTTACCGTTGGGGAGCAAAATATGTTTGGCATAAAATTACCTGATACCTTTTTACTCTGCCATTAGGTCCTGAGGACCAGGAAGTCATACAAGAATGTGATTTCCATGACCCAAACACAATTGTGCTCAGCTGTGTCTCTTTCTTGTGAGGACACTGGATGCTCACATGTATCTGATGCAGAGGAGTGCAGAGGGGCTGGACAGCACCCAAGGAAACAAAAGGATCCTGTATTCACAAGAGCTCTAAAGGGCAGGTCTCGCTGCTCTGACACGTGGCTGCTATTGGATGATTTGTAGGGAACTGATGTCTACAACTTAGTGCTAGATGTCACCTGCATATATAGGAAAACAGTACTTTCGTGGTCAAAGAAGACACTCAGATGAACATCTTGCTAGTGCTTAGTCCCAGGGTTTTTCTAACTCATCTGGAGATATGAATGTAAGTGCACCTCAGTAAGGGCAAAAGACAGAGTCTGGGATCTTAGTCTGTCCATATCGCTTATGACATTCCACTGTGAAATTTCATCACCTGAAAATGGAGATCATGATTTGTGGAGGACTGTATGAGGCTCTAATTAGACATTGCATGTGATATTCCAGCTGTGTATAAATCCTTCCATGGGGAACACTATACAAAAAAAAAAAAAAAAAAAAAAAAAAAAAAAAAAAAAAAAAAAAAAAAAAAAAAAAAAAAAAAAAAAAGACAAGTGGCGCCTTGGTGGCTCAGTAAGTTGAACATCCAACTCTTGATTTAGGCTCAGGTCATGATCTCATGCTCAGCATGGACCCTACTTTGGATTCTCTTTCTCCCTCTCTCTCTGCCCCTCCCTCGGTCTCTCTCTCTCTATCAAAATAAATAAATGTTTAAAAAAAAGACTTGAAAAAATAAAATAAATTTTAAAAATTAAAAAAAAGACATTATGAGATGACAAATGGATTTATTAAAAAATATATGTGAGGCACCTAGGGAGACATTCAAAGGGATCATGACAGGAAGAAAGCAGCATACAAGAACCATCAGTGCACCGAGAAAGAAAACATATTAGTGCACAGTTCCCATTTTTGCAAAAACTTAAGTGTCAGTTATGTGGGTTTGTTTCTCCAAAGTACTTGGAGGGACAGGATAAAGATCTTGACTACAGAGTTAGGCAGAAATCATGGCTGTACAAGGATGTGTAAAGCTGGCATGTGAGCCTTAAAGAGGAAGGAAGAAGATAATCAGGGAGAAGTGGTTGACTTTCATCAAGCTGATTCACAAGCTTGTAAACAGGCAGATGAGTAACAGAAATGTTTGTGATTGCATGCTGGTTTTCAGCAATGTTTGACAGTGACTTTGTTTCCCAAACAAAAATCAGTGTTGTGACCAGATGGTGGTTCTTGGCGAGGCAATCAGCAGCAGGAGGGCTGGCAGCAGGATCCAGAGCCTTGGGCTAGGCACCCAGGCAGGCAGCAGCAGGTGGGGTGGTAGCAGGTTCTCGTGCAGTACACGGGGGTACAGCAAACTGGCTGGCAGCAGTGGGACCCACAGCAGTTTTGTCCACAGCCGCTGGACCCACAGCCGCTGGACCCACAACAACTGGGCTGGCAGCAGGTGGTCCTGCAGCAGGTGGTTTGACAGCAAGTTGGGCGGCAGCAAGGCTGGCAGCAGCTCGACCCACAGCCGCTAGACCCACCGCAGTTGTGTCCACAGCCGCTGGACCCACAGCAGCTGGGCTGGCAGCAGGTGGTCCGGCAGCAGGTGGTCCTGCAGCACGTAGGCTGGCAGCAAGAGGAGCAGCACGAGTGGGTCATGGTGTCAGGGGTGGAAGGTGGGCAGGTCCTGTCCAGAGGTGAGGTTGTCAGATTCTGGTGCCTCCTCCAGATCTGGGGCTTTTATGCACTGGACCCCCAAAGTTTAGACCAATGGGCAGGACTTTCCTAGTTGGTGTTTACATTGTTGTCCATAGTCACTGGGGAATCATAAATGAGGAAGTTGTTTCCTAAATGTTAAAAATCATTACAAAATAAGTGTTTAATGTGTTTCCTACTTGAGAATAACTCATACAAACATTTTCAGATGAAAGGAAAGTGATCACATCAGCAGCATTGTTCTTGCTTCAATGATCATCACATCATGTAATCTAGTTTCTGCTGGTCTGGGTAGGGTCAGAGCAGCTGTCCCTCCCCAGCTTTGGTCCTAGATTATATGTGGATTAGGAGTATCCCTGAGGTGAGAGGCATGATGCTGATATGCTCACTGGGACAAATTTAGTAGATGTGTGACCCCAGGCCTGTTCCCCCCCAAAAGCCTGATTCAAGACTCCCACAGGCATATCTATCTCCTGTAACACCCTACCCCACTTGTATGCCAGTTCAATCAAAGACAATTGGGTAGCAGATATCTGGCCTCATCTTCTCCATATGGCAAGGCATAACCAAAGCAAGTGGGAAGAGGCATCAGCAGTACACTGGGACTTAGCAAACATCAGTTGGTATACCTCCTATTGACCAGTAGTCCTGATTTACCTAGGCTTGAGTGTTTTCTCAGAATAAGGGAATTTCAGTGGTATAACTAAGGAAGTATGGGCATACCAGGGTGATTTGGTGACTCTAGTCCTAACCTTGTTAACTAGCCTGCACAGTGCCTTCACTGATGTAACAGATCACCTCTTTATTTATGTCAGTTCTTTTTTTTTCTTCCTCCCTTTGTTCCTTCACTTGTTTGTTTGTTCCTTTCTTCCTTCCTTCCTTTCTTCCTTCCTTCTTCCTTCCTTCATTCCTCTCATATCTTCCTTCTTCCTTTCTTTTGTTCTTGCTTTTTTAAATTTCTTTTCTTTCTTTCTTTCTTTCTTTCTTTCTTTCTTTCTTTCTTTCTTTCTTTCCCTTTATTTTCCTTCCTTCCTCCCTGGTTCCCTCTCTCCCTCCCTTCATCACTCTCTTTCCCTCCATTCCTTTCCTTCCTTCAAACTGTTATTTTCTTTCTCCAATTTTCCTTTATACCTTTCATTCCTTCTTCCTTTTTTGTCTTTCTTCCTTTTCCTCTCTTTTCTTTTCTTTTCTTTTCTTTTATTTTCCTCCCTCCTTCCTTTTCCTGTGTTTCCTCTTGATGCCTCCCTACTCCTGCTTCTGCCCTCCATCTTCTATTGTCTTATTGTTCTGTATCTTCAAGAAATTGCATCTGCCCACCAATAGAATTAAGAAAATGTTGAAATGAGTGGTGAAAATGATAGATTGCCAAAGGTGTCTTGACTACACCAGGGCTATGTCTTGGATATTAGTATGTTTAGGATAATGTACCTACCATATCTGCACCTCTCTGCCTAAGTGCTCTTTTCATGCACAGCAGAATGTCAGGCTGCCTGAGCATGCCACATGGAGAAAAACACTCCACCCGTGCTTCTGGAGAGTTGGTTTATAAAGACTCCTGCTCCCTCATTGCTGAAATAGGAGAATCTCAACGTGTGTGTGTGTGTGTGTGTGTGTGTGTGTGTGTGTGTGTGATTTCTGAGATATCTTTCAGGTTAAAGCTTTAGTTGCAAACTGTGATGCTGGTCTCAGAGTGCTTCTTCCCTGTGACATTTCGCTACGCTCCGACCAGTGTGATGTGACCTCCCCAAAGAAACCACATTCCCAGACTCCTTTATTCAGGGTAGTTTCTGAGAGAAACCAAACTCTGACATTCCTTTACCCCACTCAGTCTCAATTTCCTCACCTCTACAATGGGAACCTTAATACCTACTTTGCAAATCCCTCCAAGAATTAAAGGGAATGCTCAGGAAGGATTTAGTCAACATCCAGCAAATATTCGGAAACATGGGTCGT